AGTTAGAATGCCAATCATTAAAAAGTCAGGAAACAACAGATGCTGGAGAGGATGTGGAGAAATAGGAACACTTTTACACTGTTCGTGGGAGTGCAAAGTAGTTCAACCACTGTGGAAGACAGTGTGGCAATTCCTCAAGGATCTAGAACTAGAAATGGCATTTGACGCAGTGATCCCATTACAGGGCATATACCCAATAGATTATAAATCAAGCTACTATAAAGACACATGCACACATATGTTTATTGTGGCACTATTCCCAATAGCAAAGAATTGGATCCAACCCAAATGTCCACCAATGATAGACTGGATTAAGTAAATGTGGCACATATACACCATGGAATACTATGCAGCCATAAAAAGGATGAGTTCATGTCCTTTGCAGGGGCATGGATGAAGTTGTAAACCATCATTCTCAGCAACGTATCACAAGGATAGAAAACCAAACACCACATATTCTCACTCATAGGTGGGAATTGAACAATAAGAACACTTGGACACAGGGCAGGGAACATCACACACTGGGGCCTGTCATGGGGTGGGGGGCAGGGGGAGGGATAGCATTAGGAGAAATACCTAATGTAAATGATGAGTTAATGAGTGCAGCAATCCAACCTGGCACATGTATCCCCATGTAACAAACCTTCACGGTGTGCACATGTACTCTTAGAACTTAAAATGCAATTTTAAAAAAAAAGTAACTTCCAATATTTTTACTATTAGCACTCTCTGAAGAAGTGTTTGTGGTGGTCGTGGTGGTGGGGAGAGGGTGGTCTGTGTTTGTGGCGGGGGGCGGGTATAGGGCTGGACCTTGAGATGGACAAGACAAACAGGAAGGAAATGTGAACATTTCATTAATATTCATTTTAAAAAGATTCATTGAACACTTACTATGTGCAAACAGGCACTCTACTAATTAACAGCCATTTCAGATTTTCAGAGTGCAAAGGGCCTCAAGAACAAATTATTTATTTTTATTTTTTTGAGACAGGGTCTTGTTCTGTCTCACACCCTGCAGTGCAGTGGCATGATCACCGCTCACTGTAGCCTCCACCCCCCACTCCAGAGCTCAGATAATTCTCTCACCTCAGCCTCCACAGTAGCTGAAACCACAGGCTTGGGCAACCACGTCTGGCTCATATTTTTATTAATTGTAGAGACCGGGGTCTTGCAACATTGCCCAGGCTGGTCTGGATCTCCTGAAACTGCCTTTGCAAAATTATAGCTGAGGAAACTATGGCAGTGAAAGAAATCAGACCTAACCGACTCCATTTTGCTTCTAACTTTTAAGCTGTCCTTGTTCATTCCTGAGCCTAGGCTGAACCAACTTAGGAAGGAATTCAGTTTATTGTTTGACTCTGAAACAAAATTGATAATATCCCTTTCCCAAAAAAACTGCTTGCTTGCCTGGGGACCAGTCTGCCTTTGCAGGACTAACAAATTAGCTACAAGATTAGAAATTACAGTTTAGAGGTCATGCAGCCTCTGGCTCCAAGTGTCTGAATCTCCCCAAATTGGTCCTGGGGATAACATCACTATTGTAAAATCTAAGATAAGTGCTTGACCTATTTTGCAGACCCTGCTTTCCATGGATCAGCTGAAACCACCCAGATTGGTAATTTGGCCCAATCAGTTCTGCCATCCTACCCAGGAACAGAAAACAGCAAGAAAAACTCACTTCTACCCACTATGAGTCCATCTTTAACCTGACCCATCAGCACTCCCTACTTCCCAAGCCCCTACTCGCCAAATTATCTTTAAAAACTCTGATGACTAGTAGGGGAGACTGAGTAAGAATAAAACTCCAGTCTCCTGCACAGCCGGCTCTGCATGAATTACTCTTTCTCCATTGCAATTCCCCTGTCTTGATAAATGGGCTCCCCGTCAGCAGCAGGCAGAGTGAACCCCAATATTGGGTGGTTACACTTCTAGGCTCAAACAATCCTGCTATCCGGCTTCCCAAAGTGCTGGGATTACAGGCGTGAGCCACCACGTCCAACTAGAACAAATGATTTCTTAAAAGCAACTCAAATATTTAAATATTATTTAAAACTGTTTCTGGACAAATCGGAGGGACTTTGGGACAAGAATATGGTCGCGGGACTTTGAACGCAGGCAGTGAAGACACCTACGAGCCATCAGTGGGGTCCTACGGCAGCCGTGGAACTGTTCTGCCTTGCAGGCGAAAGTGTGGTCAGCTATATCGGAGCGCCATGGGGGCCTGAGTGGCGCATCTGCGCAGGCGCCGGGCTCCTAAGTATACCCAGGAACTGACCCTGATCTCTCTTTTCCCTGTTAGACATGGTAAGTGTGAGTCAACCGCTGCTGTCCTGATGGGTTGGTAACAGACAGGGTAGGGTAGGGTAGGGTAGGGTAGGGTAGGGTTGAGTAGGGTTAAGCACACTGGTCACCTTAGGATTGGTTTTCTGGTGCTGGAGAATGATTAAGACACAGGCCTTGAAGATTTTTTGAGTGTGAAATATTACTCAGCATATTTTGCAGACCTCGCGGGCAATGCCGCTTCTGATTTTATCCAGGCCTTCTGTAGGGAGGGCCTGTTAGAGTTGAGCAGCCCGATTTCTTAAACCCTCTAAAAAGCTGGGGCTGATTGGTGGCTTTTTTTTTTTTTTTGGAGGGGGGATGTCAAAAATTTCTTTAAAGTCGTTAGTGATGTGGTCTCGCTTTAAGATTTTTAGTGGGATCAGAGGAAAATTCGGTACTTAATCACTTCCGGTAATCTTCATGACCTATTGTTATGACTACTGTGTACTCTCAATGAGGAAGATAAAGATACGAAAAGAACTAGAGCCACATCACATGGGGACTTCTGCAAATACAGAGACTCGGATTAAAGGTGGAGAAGATGGAGCTAAAAGAACTACTTATTTAATACATTTGAACAACTTTTGGGGTATTTAGAAGGTGCTTTGAAACCTGCATTTGATAGCAAAAATTCGCTTGCAAATTAAGGGCCAGTTAGATAAAAAAAATATGTATGTATGCTCTCTGCCACATGTAAACCGTAAATTGTCCCGAAATGATAAGCTTTGATATTCTATGATATCATAAGCTATGATATATTATTTTTTACTTACCTTTTTGAATGAAAAGTGAACAACAAGCAATGCTGGTGGTAATTTTTTGGGTCAATGATGAGCTGGCATGTATTCTGAATCTAAAGTTGATTATTAATACTTTAGCTCTAGAATTACTCTGAGACCTGAAAATTACCTGAATCGTGACTAAGATGGAGCTCGAATGACTTAAGTTCTTTTTTGTTAGATAGAATTTTTGTTTGTTTGTTTTGTTTTTGAATCAGGGTCTCCCGTCGCCCAGGATGGAGTGCAGTGGTACAACCTCAGTTCACTGCAGCCTTAATTTCCTGGCCTCAAGCGATCTTCTACCTCAGCCTCCCTAGTTACAATTTTTAAATGGAACATTTTCCTATTACAAGATGAAACGAAGTGAAAATTGAGATGTATGTTGAATCTATGCTGTGGGGCAGAAGAACATTGTAGAGGTAAACATTGATGGATTACTGCTTTTTTTATTTTGAAAGGGCACTCCACAGAAGGATGTTATTATCAAGTCAGATGCACCAGACACCCTATTATTGGAGAAACATGCAGATTATATCGCATCCTATGGCTCAAAGAAAGATGATTATGTATGTATGATTTTATATTGGAAAGTTTATTTTAAAGAAGTGTGACAGTTATAAGCGGTGATACAGTATTTATATTTTATGTCTTAAAATGGCATCCAACTCCATGCAGAGAACTGAGGATTTCCTGTGCCTTTGAACTTCAGTTAAGTGTGCTTTGGACGTCTGAGATTGTGGGCTTATTAGAATCGCAGTATTCACCTATACTGAGAGGGCTTGCCAGACAAAGTAGATAAGGGTTTGAGGTACAAAACGGGTTTCCCTTTTTGTAGTTAGAAGTAATACTTTCAAGGTCAATGATGTTTTGGCATGTATTATCTGAATCTATTGCTGATGTGTAATAACACTTTAGCTCTAGAATTACTCTGAGACCTTGAAAAGGTTTTACCTTAAATTTTTAAATTTCGAGGAAAACTCTCTGGGACAATCTTAGCAAAAAGTAGTAAACAACTTAGTTAAGAGTAAGTTTTTCCCTGTAGTATCCAAACTCAGTTGTCTTAAGCTTATCTACCTATTTGTGGGATGTATGTATTAATTTGTTACTTAAGTGTTAGGTTCCCATAACCTTGAAAATACTCCAGTAGCAATCATAGAGTTAAGGCCATATGGATGGGGCTGGACTCGTTTCTGCCTTTATCTGCTATCTATGCCCTGAATTTGGGTTAGTAGCAAATTAAGATGCACCACCTGTTAAAAAAACTTTTTTTTTTCCTTTTGGGAGATATAACCTCACTTTGTTGCCCAGACTGGAGGACAGTGGTGCAATCTGGGTTCACTGCAACCTCCACCTCCTGGGCTTAAGTCAGCCACCTGAATAGCTGGGATTACAGGCGCATTCTACCACGCCCAGCTAGTTTTTGTATTTTTGGTAGAGACAGAGTTTTGCTATGTTGACCAGAGTGGTCTCAAACTCCTGACCTCAAGTGATCTGTCTGCCCCAACTTCCCAAAGTGCTGAGATTACAGGCAGGAGCCACCACCCAGCCACAAAACTTCTTAAAATGTAATGCATTGTTGATTGTGGGAAAAATTTGTTTCTGGAATCCTAATACTAATTTTCATCTATCATTGATTAGCCACTGTTTTATCTGGGCGTAGACATCTTTAGAATGTTTAGGGCATTTTGATTTTTCATGAAGTTATATAATTTCCTAATAGATAATAAGTTTTGTACAGAGTCCACATTGAAATAGATGTCCGATAAATATGGTATAGGTACTCGGAAAGAAATACTGTCCCTGAACTTCACTGATGAAAAAGGTAGATGCTTTTCTGTCTTTGGCTCATGGGAGAAACTAAAGCCCTGTTTGTATTGTCAGCCATAGATGAACTAATCCTGTGCTTCTAAGATAATTGTTTTTTTTCTGATTAATAGTTGTGTCTGAAGATGGCCTCTAACGTTGAGCGGCACAAATTTTAAACTCAATACTGATTAGTGCCATTAAGGTCAGAAGAGGTAAAAATAGCAGCATGGCTAATAAGTTAGCTTTGTGTTTGATCTCTTTATAACCTGTTTTCAGTTCAAACTGACACATTTAAGAAATTGTGTATTATTTTAGGAATACTGTATGTCTGAGTATTTAAGAATGAGTGGCATCTATTGGGGTCTGACAGTAATGGATCTCATGGGACAACTTCATCGCATGAATAGAGAAGAGATTCTGGCATTTATTAAGTCTTGCCAACATGAATGTGGTGGAATAAGTGCTAGTATCGGACATGATCCTCATCTTTTATACACTCTTAGTGCTGTCCAGGTAAATACTAATTAAAATTGCAATGATCTTGATAGTGTGTTCTCTTACTTCAGAGTTGGAAATTGAAACTATTAGGATTTGGTCAAAAAGTTTTGTTACAAAAGTGAAGCTGTCCTACAAGGTCAATGGTGTAATGGCATGTATTAGCTGAATCCAAAGTTGATGTGAGTTTCTAGAATTACACTGAGACCTTGGAGGGTAAAATTTTTATCTTCAGTATGTGTAAATACTGTTAAATAGCTAAGTGGATCTGTTTGATTTTGGTATTGGTGAACATCTACCTGGTTTAAAGTCTTTCTGGTGCTGGGTGCTGAGATGGGAATATCAGGACTTTGTGTGTATGTAAGTTAGTACACTTGAGTATCTTGGAATGCCAAGTTAAAGTTTATATGTAGAAAAATTATACTTTAAAGATTTGGGTTTTGATAATATCTGTAGTTTTATTGAATAATAGGAGAGTCTGCATATTTGAGAAAAGGCTATATACAGAGACAAAAGGAGCACTTGGCAACTTAAAAAGAGTTGAGCATAAGATCATTAGAATAAACCTGAAAGGGATATTTACCTAATACTTGTCTTTATTGCAGATTCTTACACTGTATGACAGTATTAATGTTATCGACGTAAATAAAGTTGTGGAATATGTTAAAGGTCTACAGAAAGAAGATGGTTCTTTTGCTGGAGATATTTGGGGTAATGTCAGATTTAGTCCATTCTACCCAAAATACCAATATTAAAATGTACTGGTTTTGCTAGTAACCAGTTTATAAGTTTTTCATCTTTTCAGGTCCCACTAAGCAGCTGGTCTAACTGGAGTTAATGGTCTGCTGGAACTTCCAGCATGCACTGTGGTAGTTATATCAGCATACAGGAGCACTGGAACAGAGGGGGCCAGTCTAAAAGATAAGGTAGGTGGAATTTTTTTTCCCCAATATTTGGTGGCTTTGTAAAGTTTTTTAAAAACTACTTGCTGTAAAGGGAAAAAAATTTTAAAAAAACTTTACAAACTTGCTGAATATTTGAGTGGAGGGAGGGAATAGAATTTTATTTGATAAATGTAGATAATCTCTGCTTTAGGGATGAACACAGTGCAGGCCAGAGAGACCAGCTGCTTCATGGGATGTGAAAAATCTACTTTTATAAGGTAGGGTAAGTTTATTGCATTATTAGAAATTGCCTAATACTTTTGGTTCTATTAGTTTTCTTCTCTTTCTGGGCATTCTTTAAGCAGTTTAAGATAATTTGCTGTGACTTTTTTGTGGCAGGGTCTTGCTCTGTCCAGGCTGGAGTGCAGTGGTGCAGTTACTGCCCACTGCAGCCTTGACAGTCCACGCTCATGATCCTCAGGCCTCAGCCTCCTGAGTAGCTGGGACTGTATAGGCTCATACCATCACAGGCAGCTATTTGTTTGTTTGTTTGTTTATTTTTTGGTGGGAGGAGGCAGAGTTGCTGGGGTTGCAGAGCTTTGTTGCCCAGGCTGGAGTGCAGTGGTGCAATTTTGGCTCACTGAAACCTCCTCCCAAGCTCAAGCAGTTCTCCTGCCTCATCCTCCAGTGTAGCTGAGACATGCACCACAACACCTGGCTGGCTTTTGTATTTTTAGTAGAGATGGGGTCTTCTGGCCTCATGTGATCCTCCTGCCTCGGCCGCCAAAAGTGCTGGGATTTCAGGCCTGAGCCACAGTGCCCAGCCCCAGCTAATTTTTTTAAAAAGTTTTTTGTAGAGATGGGGTCCTGCTATGTTGCCTAGGCTAGTCTCAAACTCCTAGGCTCAAGTGATTCTCCCGCATCAGCCTCCCGAAGTGTTGGGATTATAGGCAAGAGCTACTGTGCCTGGTCAATTTGCTGTTATTTTTGACAAAGGAATTTTCTTGGGAAGTAAAGGCACTTCAGATTTAGCTTTCCTCCTGACTACCCTAAAGTTTTTACTTTAGGGTAAAAAAAAGTTAAGCTTGAACTCAATTTAAAGTAGTAGTTGTGCAGAGTTTGCTTTTAGATGACTCATGTATAATTTGGTAACACCTGCCTTGATTTGATCTCTTTTTATTGTAGGAGAAATTGATACAAGATTCTCTTTTTGTGCGGTGGCAACTTTGGCTTTGTTGGTAAGCTTTGAATATTTGATTGAAATGATTAAAGTTCAGGAATGCTCTGGATTTTTTTTTTTTGTCTGATCTGCTGAATACTCTGGAATTTAACAGGTTTTTGTTTGTTTGTTTGTTTGTTTGTTTGTTTCTGTTTGTAGGGGAAGCTTGATGCTATTAATGTGGAAAAGGCAATTGAATTTGTTTTATCCTGTATGAACTTTGATGGTGGATTTGGTTGCAGACCAGGTTCTGAATCCCATGCTGGGCAGGTAATTTATTAACACAGATGAAAATTTACTGTCATTTTGGAAGCAAGTGTAGTAAAATAGGAAAATGGGTTATTTCGGTGTTTATCAAATACACATAAAATTAATGACTGTAATATGGCATCTTAAAAATTGCTTAGTTGCTTTCATTGCTTTGCTTTATATACTATATACCTTTCTCTGTCAGTGGATCCCTCTGACCTAAGCAAACATAAGTAGGTTTGTAAGCACCAAAACACATTTTTTTCCACTAATTTTTCACTAACCATACAGATAAAAAAAAAACACACACACATTTTTCTTTCTGCCCTGAGATAAATGATGAACCTCCTTTCTTGTGTCAGAGAACACTGAATATGTGAATGGCTGTGATTTACTAACCATGAAGAAATTTTGACAGTAATATTTCAGTACAGAATTGCATACTAGTAACACTATGGTTGGATTTGTTCAGATATGTGGTATTAATACATGCTTGGAATTTTAAGTGTTAGATCGAGAAAAAAACCTTAAAATATAAAGTGGTGTTTTAATAATTTGAGTAGTTTTATCACTTTTACTGTCAAGAAATTATTATACACATATACTTTATGTCTGTAATTTTAGATCTATTGTTGCACAGGATTTCTGGCTATTACAAGTCAGTTGCATCAAGTAAATTCTGATTTACTTGGCTGGTGGCTTTGTGAACGACAGTTACCTTCAGGCGGGCTCAATGGAAGGCCAGAGAAGGTATTGTTTGATAAGCTCTGTTCTGCTGACTTTAGAACCTTGAGTGAATGCTGCAGCTTTGTCTTGCCTATTTCAATATTGTAAATTGGCCATGAGCTTATTTATTAACTTTCCCTCTTGCAAATTTTCAGTAATGCGTCCTACTAAAAGACTCCCCTTGGCAAAAGTAGAGCCCCATGAGTTGAAATACTCGTTGATCCTAATGTCCATTTCCAGACAGTCTTGTACAGGAATCTCCATGTTTAAGGACAGTTGTTTTTGGCAAATTGGATTTTTAAAAAATTAGGCTACAGAATTTTTGTTCGCAGTCTTCTTATTTAAGGAATACCCAGATAATTTAGTTTGGAGAGAGGATATTATTAAATTTTCCTCCACATGATAGGTCCCTATATCAGGTCTGTAAGGGACAAACAGTGAATACTCATTTGCAACTATGTAATTTTCCTGTAGAGCAAGTGCAGCCATAAGTGGTAAGAAATGAATGAGTATGACTGTGTTCCAATTAAAATTATTATGGACAGATATACTCATATTTCATATGTCAGATTTTTTTTTTTTTTTTGAGATGGAATCTTGCTCTGTTGCTCAGGCTGGAGTGAAGTGGCGCCATCTCAGTTCACTGCAACCTCCGCCTCCCAGGTTCAAGCAGTTCTCCTGCCTCAGCCTCCCGAGCAGCTGGGACTACAGGCGCACAGCTAATTTTTGTACTTTTATTAGGGACAGGGTTTCACCATATTGGCCAGGCTGGTCTCGAGCTCCTGACTTTGTGATCCGCCTGACTCAGCCTTCCAGAGTGCTGGGATTACAGGCGTGAGCCACTGCACCTGACCCAGGACTATTTTTAAATGATTTACAAATGTAAAATCTGTTCCTACACTATAGTCTAGATTTGACTCAAGGATTGTAGCTTGCTGTGCCCTCTGAATGGGACGTGATGGTACAGTAGCTGGGATTACAGGCGTGCGCCACCACGTCCATCTAATTTTGTATTTTTAGTAGAGATGGGGTTTCATCATGTTAGTCAGGCTGGTCTCAAACCCCTGACCTCAGGTGATCCACCCTCCTCAGCCTCCCAAAAGTGCTGGGAGTACAGGCATGAGCTACCGTGCTCAGCCTGTATTTTTATTTTTAAACCTCAGTTTTTCTGAGTGACAATGGGCAGAGAAACACCCGCAGTTGCTGTCTACAACAGAGTGGAATAAAAAACCTGAGGAACTGTCAACAGAAAAATGGGTGACTGTGCCTGGGCCTGCATTTGCTCACAATCTAGGGCAGCTTCTAATGGGTCTATGCGTTATTCAAGGATCTCATTAAAATGCAGCCTTGGGTGGGATTTTCTTCCTTACAGACTTATGTCACCATATTTTGAAGAGCTAGGGTTTAGTTGAATTTTAAGCAAGTGTGTACCCACCTGGACAGTGCTGGTAGAAAAACAGAACTGTACCCATGGATTTCATGATTATACTACTAGCTTCTTGGTTAAGGGGCTGAGTTAGGCGTTTGTTGCAGATAGAAACAAGGTAGATGCATGCTTATCAGTGAGTACTGAGATATTTAGCATGGTTACCTATGAATTGGAGTTTGGTCTCTTCTTACCCATTAATTGATTATCTTTCATTCTAAGCAAGTATTTCATACCCTGCATGTCAGTATATCCCTGGATTTCGTCCCTCCACACGGTTTGACACTTAGAACATCAGATTACTTGAGAGTGAGACTTAATCCACTTTTAAATTGTTCTCAAAATTAGGGAAATAAAAGAGAATGAAATTGTGGCAACTTTTTTCCCTCCTAGTTACCAGATGTATGCTATTCATGGTGGGTCCTGGCTTCCCTAAAGATAATTGGAAGACTTCATTGGATTGATAGAGAGAAACTACGTAATTTCATTTTAGCATGTCAAGATGAAGAAACGGGGGGATTTGCAGACAGGCCAGGAGATATGGCAAGTAATATTTCTGACATATTTGTATAAATTATTTTAGTGTCGCATTCCTTCATGGTTCCATGGATTTCCAGGGTGGTATTCCAAGTGTTGCTTTGAAAGCAGTTTTTTTTTCTATTTCTCGTAGAATGTATGAAGGATATAGAACAATCTTACAGAAATTTCTTGTCGCCTGTTGCTAACAAAATTAGTATATGGTAAAGGTCAGGTATTAATGATTTGAAGTTAAAGAAGTTTTCATTTTGTAATCTGTATATAAATTCTTTTTTAAATAGGTGGATCCTTTTCATACCTTATTTGGAATTGCTGGATTGTCACTTTTGGGAGAAGAACAGATTAAACCTGTTAATCCTGTCTTTTGCATGCCTGAAGAAGTGCTTCAGAGAGTGAATGTTCAGCCTGAGCTAGTGAGCTAGATTCATTAAAGTGAAAGCTGCATAGTATAGTTTTGCCATTTTAACATTTCTGTATTTGAAGTGCTTATTAAATCTAAAAATGAATACTGTTAATATTTTGTACATTGTGTTAAATTAATTTTAATAAATTATATAATTATACATATTGTAAAATAAAGACCTGTATTTTATTTTCTGCTCTTTATTCTGAAGTCCTGTTATTCTGACTACAGTTTTTTGTGTATACTTTTGTGTCTGTTATTTATGTTCAATAACTGAGCTAACGTAGAAGAACTCTAGGTTTCTACTTGATTTTTCTCCCATGTATAACCTTTCATGTGTTCTATAGCAAGTTGATGTAAAATGGTTTGTCAACAAGAATGTTAACTGATGAAAGTGGATAGAACCCATACATGAATTAAATGATGCACAAAATAAATGGCTGTTGAAATTTGGAAATGATTCATAGGTTTGAATATGGTTATTCTGAATTAGTCACAGACTTAGGTTAGATGGCAGTCTACCATCTTAAAATGGGGTTGTGATTCGGACTGTACATTTTTTTTAGCATTTTATATATCAGAATTACCCAAGGAAGCGGTTATCTTCAAATAAGGAAACACTAACAGTTAAGTTGATGGTCGCCACAGTATTTTTTTGCACCTATCTTTTTCTTAAAAAGCTAAAATGGGTACAATTCACTTTTTTTTTTTTGAGACAGTCTGTTGCGCAGGCTGGAGTGCAGCAGCACGATCTTGGCTCGCTACAACCTCTCCCTGCCGGGTTCAAGCAATTCTGCCTCAGCCTCCCGAGTAGCTGGGACTACAGCCTCACACCACCATTTCCGGCTAATTTTTTTGTTATTTTAGTAGAGTCGGGGTTTCACCGTGCTGGTCGGCTGGTCTCAATCTCCTGACTTCGTGATCCACCCTCCTCGGCCTCCCAAAGTGCTGGGATTACAGGCATGAGCCACCACGCCCTGCCTAAAATGGGCACAATTACTCTTTAGGGGTTTACAGTTTTGGTGAAAATGAGGTATTCTCTGTTTTTAAATTTTATTTTTTAGAGACAGGGTCTTCCTTTGTTCCCCAGGCTGGAGTGTAGTACAGTCACAGCTCACTGCAACCTTAAACTCCTGGGCTCAAGCAGTCCTTCCACCTCAACCTCTTGAGTACCAGGGACTACAGGCACCTGTCACCATGCCCACTATGTCCAGCTGATATTTTAATTTTGGGGGCAGGCAGTGTCTTCTCCAGGCTGGTCTCCTGAGGTGAAGTGATCCTCTGGCCTCAGTCTCCCAAAGTGCTGGGATTACAGGCAGGAGCCACCGTTCCCAATCTGAAAATAAAGTTTTTTGATGGAAATTGAGATTTTCTCAAGTATGTTTGGAATACCCTGTGCAATAATTATTCCAAGAACAGAGACGTTCTTAAGGACTGTTGCCATTGCATGTGGGTAAACTGCTGTGCATAACTGGTTTATTGAGATACTCAACAGTGACAGTATTTCAGTAATGGTGTAAATTAATGTCTTCTAATAACTTCTATATGACAGTATCCAGATAATTGCATCATGGTTAATTCACGGATCTCTGGTAAGTTGGTACTATTGGCCTTATTTAAGGAATTTTCTAAAGGTCACCATTGCAAAGCTGGAGTTTGAACTTCTACTATGCTATTAACTGATTTATATGTTAGAAACCACAATACTAGAAATTAGTGGACCGGGAACTGTTAACTGAGAGATCTTACCCAGTTAGTCTGTCCCTGTTTCCTACTCTACTATGCACACGGCCATGTGCACACTGTCTTGTGATAATATAACGAGATCTTTCCTATATTTGGTCACAAGATAAACTTTAGGTGAGTTATACTGTGTGAGCATTACACGTTCTCATTGTGTCAAAGGCACTGGGTGTACTGTGTTTGGTGGTTTCTACATTTCAAGATAAGCTAGTGTGCTTGGATGTGTGGGAAATGCACGTATCATTTTGCAATAAGGGAGATTGGGTGCTGTGAGAATAATGGGGCTAACAAATTGGGTGGTAATTGATGGGCCTTGCAGAGTTCTGGTCAGTCTGATACCTGCAGGCTGAGGAGGTTCCAGTGAGGTTCATGTGGAAAGTGATGGGTTTGGGAACTGCTGGAAGCAGGGTCGTAGACCTGAAGCACGTGAATCCATGTGGAAAGCTCAGGCTGCATGCGCCTGCGCAGTGCAGCTTAGTTCTTCGGCGCGCAGTTCTCCCGCCCTTTCCAGCTGCGCAGCGTCTGTAGTTGGGCTACGCGAGGGGGTGCTCAGAAACCTCGCACTTCTCGGGTCAGGGAAGGTTTGGGAGGATGCTGAGGCCTGAGATCTCATCAGCCTCGCCTTCTGCCCCGGCGGTTTCCCCGTCGTCGGGAGAAACCCGCTCACCACAGGGTCCCCGCTACAATTTCAGACTCCAGGAGACTCCTCAGAGCCACCCTTCAGGCCAGGTGGCCTCTGCATCCACCCCTCCCGGCACGTCAGGAGCCGCGGGCGACCGGAGCAGCAGCAGCAGCCTCCCCTGCCCCGCGCCAGGCTCCCGGCCAGCTCAAGGCAAGGAGTGGTTGGGTGGAGGAGTCTCCTTGAGGCTAGAGGCCGGCAGTTCATGGAGGCTCAGGGACACGTGCGTGGTGGTTACCACAGTGAAGTTCAGTTGTGGTTTGGTTGGGGCGTGAAATCAGAGTGCCCTGGGAATTTGGTCTGGGTGATTAGAAGCCTGGACTTTTCAAATTGGTTCTATTGCAAGACCTTGATTGTGGATGGCTCAGTTCTGAGGAAGGCTGAAGTATCCCACGTAACGTCCCTCAGAGTGTCTGACAAATGACAGTTTGTGCGTGAGTTTGCTGATAGAAGTGGTGAGCTGATCTTTGACTGCTGAATTTAATTCTCCAAATCCTGCTAGGGTGGGATAAAATAGAATAAATTGAACATTTCGTCTAATTCAGGAAAATAATATGTTTAGTATTAAAAGATGTGGGCTGGGCGGTGGCTGACACCTGTAATCCCAACACTTGGGGAAGCCGAGGTGGACGGATCACTTGAGGCCGGGAGTTCTTTCTACACCAGCCTGGCCAACACGGTGAACCTTCCAACCCCATCCCCCATCTCTACTAAAAATACAAAAATTATCTGGGTGTGGTGGCGCATGACTGTGGTCCTAGCTACTCAGGAGGCTGAGGTGGGAGGATGGCAAGTCCAGGAAGTCGAGGCTGCCGTGAGCCGAGATCGCGCCACTGCATTTCAGCCTGGGTGACACAGTGAGACCCTGACTCAAAGCAAACAAACAAAAAAGATGCATGTCCTTCAAATCATTTATTATTTTACTAGTCTCTATTCATGACAAAGCATCACCATTTTTCACACACGATTGCAACACAATGGTAAAGTAACAAATACCAACTCCAGTGGTCATTTTTCAGTTCATCTCATGTGACCTTTCTGCTGCATTTAATGTTCTTAATTTCTTTATTTTTAGAAACAGAGTCTCGCTATGTTGCCCAGGCTGGTCTCAAACTCCTGGCCTCAAGTGCTCCTCCTGCCTTGCTCTCCCCAAGCATCGGGATTACAGGCATGAGCCACCACTGCCTGGCCTATTTGACTGGTCTTCTCTTAAACTCTCTTAATTTGGCTTCCTTGATTCCACTTGCCCCTGTTTTTCTGCTACCTCCTAGAGAATTGCTATGCTCACCTTTGTTCCCAAATTATGGGCATGTCATTAAAGCTTTTTTCTTCCTAGGCCACTTCTACCTAGATGTGAATAACTCCACAACTCAGATCTCATCTACACTCCAGACTTATTTCAGACTGTCTTCTGAAGTTTTTATTGATGGACTAATGGATACCTCAAACTCACTATATGATTAATTAAATTCCTCTCTGCTTTTTTTTTTTTTTTTTTTTTTGAGACAGAGTCTTGCTCTATTGCACAGGCTGGAGTGCAGTGGCATGATCATGACTCACTGCAGCCTCAAATTCCTGGGCTTAAGTGATCCTCCCACCTCAGCCTCCCGAGTAGCTGGGACTAAGGTGTATGCCCCTACAGACGGCAATTTTTAAAATTTTTTTTATAGAGACAGTGTCTTCCTACATTGCCCAGACTGGTCTCGAACTTCTAGGCTCAAGCGATCCTCCTGCCTCAGCCTCCCAAAATGCTGGGATTACAGGCGTGAGCCACTGCACCTAGCCCTCAAACTCCTAAGTGTTCTGCCGTCCTTCTAGCTTACTTACTGTACCACTTACTTATGTTGAAAATGATCTTCTCGTGTTCCTTGCCACTTGAATCAGTAGACCTGTATCTGCAGGTAAAAGATCAAACTCTTTTGAAGGATAGCCAAAGCAATTAGGATCAGTGTCTCATCTTTACAGATTTATCCCCCATCACTTCTTAATATTTATCCTGCTTTCTAACAAAGCTGAGCTACTTGCAATTCCTCTAAAGCAACATGCATGTTCACATTGTCAATCTAATCCCTCTCTTCATCAGATGCTTTGTCACCCACTTATTTTATCAGTAATGATAACATTCACTAATTTATATATACCTTCTTTGTTCTGGCTTCTTACTAGGCAGATGGTATCTTTGATCCTCACAATAATTCTGCAGAGTAGATTTTTTTGTTCCTGTTTTACAGATAGAACCAAGGCCCAAATAGGTGAACAAAGGTCCAAATTATGTTAGCAGCTGGGGATAATAATCTGCGCTCTCAAGGAACTTAAGGTTCAGTAGAGAAGACAGACTTAAAAATCAACAAATACACATTTAAGAGATAACTGTATTTGAGGTATTTACAATTTTTGAGGTATTTATAATTAAAGTATGGGGACAAAAGTGGGAAAAGACGTTTCACAGAGTAAGTGCACCTTGAACTGGTCTTGAAGAATAAGTAGAAAGAAGAATGCCAGCCAAAGGGAAAGAGGAGAGAAGCTGGAGTGCATTCTTGAGAAAAACACATGCAAAGGAAAAGAAGATTCATGTAAACCTGCAAATAATTTTGCTTGGCTAGAGCAGGAGAGTGATCTATGTAGATAAACTTGGATGTAGATATAGTTGTGAGAACTAGATCTGGGAGACAAATTTTGCCCAGAGACCCCCATGTTCAACACGAGGTCTCTGGTTTTGATGACTGGATAGATGGTAGTAGTAGTTTCTGATACTGGAAATTTTGTAGGCAAAGCAACTTTTAGAGGGAAGATGATGAGTTCTGCTATGTACATGCTGAGTGTGAAGAGCCTGTGGGATATCCATATATTTATATTAAAATAATTGAATATAGGAAACTAGGGCTAAGAAGAGAGAAACTTGAGGGAAATATGGATTTGAAAGTTACCAGTATGTTGGGACCAGAGCGGGGAATATGAAGATTATATAGCAAAATAGAGGTCAAGGAAGTAGGAGGAGAATTAAGGCAAGTGAATGAGTTTCAAGAAAGGGCATA